TATTTTACATGCAATATGTTTTAATATTGTGCAGATATGGCCGAAGTGCTTAGGGAATTTCAATGTAAATTATGCTTGAAACTTTTGGGTTCTCGAGCAGCTCTACAGCGGCATATGAAGGAAGTACATCACAAAGATGTTATTGCTGCGGCCACGTGCGATCGATGTGGAAAAATGTTCCAGAACAAGAGCAATTTGAAAATACATATGCTGACTCATAGCGGTGTGAAACCATTTAGGTGAATTCCTTCAATATTGTATTAGTATTATTATTTTTCTCATAATGAGCGCACCTGTTACTTACACATATGGTCTTCTCTTCATCAGGTGTAAAGAGAATAGCTGTAAGGCAGCTTTCACTACGAAACAATGCCTACAGTTCCATTACAAGAAGGTACACGGCCTTACAGAGGCGATGATGCCGAAAATCGAGAGGTCCGTGGCGTACACTTTTGACGCGTACAGCGGTGGTCTCGTTGAGGACGTGCCTTGTGGAAGGATCATTCATTCCAGCAGAAGAAATTCACAAGTGAGCTCTATCGTTAATATAGTTTTATGTAACATCTAGTAAGATTTCTTTTCTTATTATATACTCCTATGTAGCAGGACAATAGCAACAGTTTGCCATCTCTGGATGACTGCAGCTCGGAGAGCAGTTTGAAAGTCGAGGCATCGGCACCGGTATCGGTACCAGTACCGGTATCAGTACCGACACCAATACTAACACCGGTATCAGCACCGCTATCAGCACCGATACTAGCATCGGTACCAGCACCATTGTCGATATCGTCACCAGTATCGTCAACTTCAGACAACTCAACAACTTCATCAGCGCCGATATCGATATCGATCTCGGTGTCAGTGTTAGCTTCGGCATCGACAGCAGCAGCAATGACAGGTTCTACTCACAACGTCATTGTGGATTCATTGCAAAGTGAAGCAAATTCTACGGCAAAGTATAAGACGGAACAACAAGAGCCTTGTGTTCCGGCTACGCAAACTGCATCCTTGATCAGTGGACTTGAGACAACGATGGAGAATGAGCATACGGAAGTTGATCTATACGACCCATCGAGGACGTTGAGCAAGGGCAGCAAAAAGTGGCTAACTGAATTCAATCCACCGCCTACGTCTGACATCGCTGTTCATTTACCGGCTGTTTCGGCGTCATCTTCCGACATTTATGATTTTGAGGATGGTAGAAAGGATGGTAGCGAGAAAGCGGTCTCACGCACCAGTGCGACAACGCCAAATTTATTAGAAAGCAACAAATTGCGATTAAACGTATACCGTAGCAGGACGGAAAGCGCGAATGCAAGTTTGCTAGTGGAGGCGGCTCTGGATGCCGCCGAGAGGGACATAGGAACAGTATCCAGTCCGATTTTGGAGGACAATGATCGCGAGACTAATCTCTACTCTATTTCGAGTCAGCTGCAGTCACCGATACCGCAGTCGCGATCGCCGAATCATCTAGACTCATACATCGTACAGCAAGAAGAGCAACTAATGTCGCCCGCGCCAACTCCAGACGACCGACACACTCCTCCTAGCCACTTACACGTAGATTATCATTTGCATCGACCGGTCGACTACAACACTTCGCGAACGCACAATATCGAGCAGTATCTGCATCACGAGGAGATGCCACGCGTCTCCTCACCAAATTACATACACATGCAGCAAGAAGATTTGGTGTCGCCGTCAGCTACGCCGAATCACCGCTACCAGGACATGCATCATCATCAAGTACCAACGGATAATCTCTCGAGCGACGAGGGTGACTCGGTGGCGCAGAATCTTAGTTTGTCTGTGAAGGAGAAGGCATTGCAGCTAGATCTCTCGACGTCGTACAAGTACGACACGCTCGAACAAGATTTCACCCGGGAGAGATCCAATTTTGAGCCATTGGTGCTTAATAGTGGTGAACTTCAGGGTTTAGACATGTCGGCTCGGGGTTTTCACCACAGTTTTGGCGCCCAGATGCAAAATACCCGCTATCATCATCATCATTTGTACGACATCGGCGAACGACAAAGCGTGGACCTCAGTAGAACGGGCAGTTACTCTATGTCGCCACCCCCACCACCGCCACCTTATCCGCATAACGAGGTCGTACGAGTGGTCAGCTTAGATCTCACTCCCGGTGGCAGGCACAGTGTCGATCTAAGTCTTTCCAGATCGCATCATCTGCATGGATCTGGTACTCGTGTCATTACCAGTTCACAACCCGTTGGCTCGACTACGACACATGTAGTACCTGACGTCGGCGAAGGTCGAATGCTATCTCCACCTCCACCTCCTTTATCAGGATACAATCCTAGTTATCCCGTGAGTCCGGCCCCGTATCATCCTCCGAGATCCGGATATCATCATTATCCCGGTTATTATTGATTGTCACTGACAAATTGTCAGATTTCCGTGGTGGTTTATAGTCAATATCTTCTCAGCAACTTTTATTATACATGTCTTTGGCTCCTTTTATAATTACTTTTCCAAATGATTTTATTTTGTTTTTATTGCTAATTACTTAACTGTACATGGTTTTTACATCGCGACACGCTCGCATCGCAGGCGGGAACTGCCATTTTCATAGTTCATACATTATAAAGAGTAACGCAAAGTTATGTCTTAATTTCGCGATCAATTTAATATTTAAATCGGTGATGAACATTTTGACATACACGCGCGTGATTAAAAAAGTTAGCAAAGAAAAAACTTTTCGACTCAAGGAAATAATAATAAAAAAAATTCACTAATATCGTATGACAGACAGTCGTAATATCGTCATTTAACACGACAAAAGTGTACTCGGTAGTCTTGGTACATCCAGGACACACAAACAGATATTATTTTTTTAAAAAAAAGTCAAGTAGCACGAGATTTTACGAAGAAAAATCTATTCCAACATGACCGGGTATCGATAGAGGAAAGTTCGTTTATCCGTAATTATATAGCTGTTAAATTATTTATTGTTTACCCTTCTCCGATAAGCTGTGTATGCAGAACATGTATGTGTGACGAGTATATCGTTTGTAGAGTAATCGTTGAAGAAAGAGAGAAGAAAAAAGAAAACAAAATTACGTCGTGATCCAATGCCACGTCCGTGATAATTAAGATTTTAAAAAGTTGTTACCTCTCTTAGCTTATATTCTTCTATTTCGGACCTATACTCCATCAAGAAATACTCCATTTAACGTGGCTTTGATGATAACAAAAGCATCCCGGAGCAGCATAATTTTTGCAAAAATTATGCAATTTTAGAGATTAAAAAATTAAATTAGAATTTGTTCACATACAAAGAAAAAAGAAAAGATTTCAAAGATGTCTGCGCGAACAATAAAATTGTTTCGAAATTTATATTATTTACAAATTGTTAAATATGCTCTGTGTATTATCTGGGATGCTCTGATATTTATGAAATATGTGAAATTATCAAGATGCCTAATACGGTAGCTAGATAAGTGTATCTCTGCATGGTGATAACAGATTGTAACGTTTGTTTTTATTCTAGTCATTACATATGCATTAGCCATTGCGAATTAGCTATAAGTTTTAACAAGTATTTCCGCAATCGCGAATAATTTGTTCAAATACATGTATTTATCGTAAATGCAAATTCAAATTTGTTTGAATTTTGTTTAAAATCTTACGCTTTCTCGTCGAATTTTTTTAGCGAGAAAAATTAATAACACACACGCACACGTGAAACAAACGTACTCTATTATAGAAGTAAAACGTAATGTAACATGTTTTATTTTATAGGTACTCAATTCAATAATATTACGTTTCTTTAACTTGAGCGACATTATTTACGCTTAGAAATACAAGCGTAGCAATTACGTAAGTTTCAGAGTCTCAAAAGAGACAGAAAATTTGTGCGTGTGCGAGTTGCGTGCGTGCGCGCGTGTGTGTGATGTGTACACGCACACGCATACATATATCGACGTGTTTCACGCGAATGTGCGCATGAAGACGATTTATAAGCTCGCGTGTAACACATTAATTTTCGTGTCGCTTCCAGATTTCTGGATTTTACTCTCTCTAGCCATTTATCGAAACCAAAGATCTAAAAATATTGTAACTCTTGTGCCAAATCGAAAGGCGTTCATTGTTATATTGTATACACACAACTTTTAGCAAAACGTAGCGATTAAAGAGGATGGGGGGGGGGGGGGGGGAAACGCTTCACTCGTGCACTCGCGCAGATAATTTTACATGATGACTTAAGAATATTTTGTTAAACTTTTTTATGTAGGTTTTTCACATTTTTTCTGCCATTAAGAATAGTTACCATTTCACATTTACTTCAATCGTCGATTTTTGTTCAAATATAATAATTCATGTTTGCGTTTTAATTTTTTTTTTTTAGTAGCCTATTCTGTAATTCTTAACGATTGTAACTGTAGCGTTAAGAATTATAGAATATCGTTAAGAGTTATAGAATAGGCTCCTATATCATAATTTGTACATTGTGCATAATGTAAGGACAACAAACGAGATACATCTGTATTAAAATATAAATGTATATATGTATATATCCCATACAGCACTGAATTTGCAGCAATATCGCTGCAAAGCCTCTGCAATATTGCTGTAACATGCAATGTTACTATAACTTTTGTGCAACTTTGTGCTGCAGGGGATTTACATACATATGTATTTGCGTGTACATGACAAAAAGAAAGATTCAAAAGAAATGTTTACGAGTACAAAATGTGGCACAGACTATATTTGTATCAGGTTTATCGACATTAATATTGTAAGTTAATATTAATAGAATATGGCAATGATTAAGCAGAGAGATGTATTTTCTTTCATTCAAAATTATCCTTTTTACAGTGGAATCCACAGAGATAAAAGGTGCATTAAGCTTTTTTTTTTCTTTGAATTTCGCCTCGCGATTGAAGTCATAGTCTCTTCTATGCAACGAATCACTTACTGCTACGTAAATATAAGAGTTTCAATAAAGAATTGATCGCGAGACTTGATCACAAACCACTGCAGAGAATCAGGATTTGTGTAAAGGACGGAAAATAGATGGAATGGAATAAAAAATCACAATCACAAGGTGTATATCATTGTATAATGTAAAGAAGAAATTATGAAAAAAATTAGATATCGTATGTCGATATATCAATTGCCAATTAGTGTTTGTCAGATCTAACAGACAGAGGTCAGTATGGTTTAATGTTGTTTTTTTTTTCAGCTGTTTTTAGCGTCTTCCGGCGATGATAGGGGCGGAATAAGCCGAATAAGCCGCCGCCGGTAGAGCGGGATAAGCGGAATAAGCGGAATAAGCCAATGGTGGAGCCGCTACGTATGGAGCGGCAATGGCGTGATTGATGGCATGTGCATTGTAACTCGTGGCGTAGGTACCGACTGTCAGAGCTGCGGGCGCCGCTGGAATTGCCGGAATCGCTGCAGGAATCACTCCGGCGCCGGCACCGGCGAAACAGACCGAACAGACGGCTACGAGAGCGCCAATAAGAACCTATGAATTTCAAACATATGAATTTCGGATAATCGAAAAAAAACCCTCTCTGCAATATTACTTCATTAACATATAATATTAAACACGGATATGTAAATCATTAATTGTGAAGAAACTTTTAAAATCACTTTTAGTATAAAAAAAATTATGTTGAAAAATTATATGATGTAAATGAGGTACGATAAAAAAAAAGTACATGTGTATATATATATGTTAAATGTAATTGAAATGTATATTTAAACAAAATATTTTTTGTATATTAAAATAAGACAGATACATATACATACATACTATATTAGATTATACTATATATTATACTATGTATATTCAGGGAATGGAAGTAACTCGTTACTTGTAACGAAGTTACAGTTACAAGTTACTTTTTTGGTAACTTTACTAGTAACTGCGTTACTTTTTTTCTTTGTAACGGTAACGAAGTTACATTTTTTTGGTAACGGTAACGAATTTTACAGTTACGTTTATCGTTACTTTGCACATGATTGGACACGATACGACACAAGCCACTTACACTGTAAAAAAAT